GGGAGGGGGCATGGAGGGGGCTGAGAGAGGGGCAGGGAGGGGCAGGCTGTGATGCTGGAGGACCGGCAGCTGACCACCAGGTGTCAGCCCCTCTCCTGCAGTCTCTCCTGCTTCTCTCTTCCCCTGCCCCACTGAGCACTGCACCTGGCATGCGGTTGGAATCTCCTGCTTGCTTTGAGACTAAAATCAAGGTGGATGGCCTGCAGCCCAGAGGGAGTCCAGCCCTTTCCCCCTCCGATACCCTGGCACCCTCTGTGTGCTTTCCTTCCACACGTAGTTGCCGCCAGCCGTGTGGGCTGGAGTTGCGGTGGACAGCCAGTGGGCAAGCGGGCCTCCTGGGGCTCATGGTCTGTAGGGGGAGGCTTGCAGGCACCACTCCCCTGCCCCCCATTTCCCTTCAAACAAAGGAATCAAAGGTGGCACCAGGGCAAGCACTAGGTCACAGCCTAGAAAGGACTGAGCCCTGAGAATCGCTGTCAACTGTGGTCCCGTGACCACCCAGGCCGGTTCTGCCCAGCGAGCTGGTGGCTCGGGGCCTCAGCTTCTCCTCGCCAGTGCTTCTGCCTTTCCACAAAGGCTCCAGGAGTCGGCTCTGCTGGGCCAGGCTCCTCCCTGCTCTGAGAAATCCCAAAGAGGCAAGGCTCCTTGGGTAGAAGCTGGACCTCCCAGCTGTAGACCCCAGAGCCTGCGGGGGCCGGCCAGACAGAAGACACAAGCAAGGACAATAAAGGCCGAGTGGGCTGGGTGGGCTGTGCCAGGCTACCCATCAGTTCCTACCAGGGCCCAGGGCTGAAAATCCAGGTTTTTATGTGAAATCTCTCCAACTTTAAATCTTGGCAACGAACCCACCATTCACCTCTTTCTAAAACACCACGCAGGCTGCACATCCACCAACACGCTGCCTGTTTGCAACTTGGACATCGAGTGTACACCGGGAGAAGCAAGAGAAGTGGTGTGAGCTGGGCAAGTGGCGCAGGCAGGGTGGGCGTCCTGGAAGAGAAGGGATGGGCTGGAAGGCCAGTGAGGCTGAGGTGGCTGAAGGGCCAGTGCTGGGACTCAGCAGGGCCCTACAGGAGGTGGGGCTGAGGTCTGGGCCTAGGGACTGGACCAGAGGCCAGGGCAGTGACATGCATGAATTTCTGGACATCAGGGGCAGTGGAGAGGGTCTTGTGGCTGCCAAGATGGAATGGGGGAAGGAACTGGCAGCAGGGAGTGGTCTTCTTGGACAGGCAGGGCTCGAGTTTCCGGAGTCTAGAAACAGCCCAATGTGCCCCGAGCCTTCATGTTTTCCTCAGAGTCAGGCCCTGCTGTGTCCTGAGCTGGTGCCTCTTGGAGGGGACAGGGCCTGGCTGCCAGACAGGCTGGGGTGAGGGGTGCCAGGAAGCCCCAAGGCTAGAATCCTAAGACCCCATGGTCATTTGTAAGAAGATGAAGCAAGGCCAGAAGGCTTTGTCAGTTCTTCCAGTGGAGAAAGATGAGGGGACACTGGTTTGACACTTGACACCCAATGGGCCAATGTGGGTCCAGCGCCCCAGGCTCAGCTCACCGCCTTTCCCTTGGTGGCCACCAGGGGGCAGCAGAGGGCCAGTAGGGCCCCTGGTCCTAGAGCCCCAAAGCCGGGCACCAAGGAGGACGACAGCAACAGTGGGCAGAGAGGGGGCCCTCTCCGCCTCTCTGTTCCCTCTGCATGTCCCATGTCCTGCCGGGGCTGCTCTGCTTCTCTGAGTCCCCGACCCTGACCTGGGACATTTGGAGATGCTCTGACCATGGCTGATGACCTCCCTCTTCTATCCTTCGCCCAGCTTGGTCCCACGGGATAGACTCCGGGTCCACGGCAGTGTGGTTTGGGTGGGTGTTTGCATGTGTACACGCCATCCCTCCTTCAGGGTCCCCCACACACGTAATGGCAGATATATGGTTCCTCTTTTTTGGAAGTGGTCAAATGGTAGCTCTTGCCCCAAATCCTTGTTCCCATGGCTCTGTGACACCAGACCGAAGCGGGTGGGAGGAAGTGGTCAGACAGCAGGTGGACGGCTCCAGGAGAGGGAACTCCTCAGGGCGGGGAGCTACACCACATGGTTCCCAGGCCACTAACAGGGCAGCCTCGGCTTTTCTGGAAGCAGAAGCTTTGCTACCTTAATCAGCTCCTCGGGCCTGTGCTTCTCACACTCCAGCCTCGTGGTTTATGCACACGCACAGGGGGCAGGGAGGGCAGCCTCCAGCCTCAGCCCTGCTCATCTGCTGTGCCCCAGTGATAGGAAGTCTGTGGGCTCCCGGGTCCCCGGTGCTCAGGCCCTCCTGTCCCCTCGTGGCCGGCACTGGAGGGCAGTGGCCAGCGGTGGGGGTACAGCACAGCTGGGCCTGGCACCAGAGGGAGGAGGGCCCCAAGCGGACGCAGGCAGAACTTGGCAGCCTGAGAGCCAGGTGAGAATGGGATCTGCCCGCCTCTGGCCAGGGGTGGGCCTACCCGGGCTGAGGGGAAGGGCAGCGGGCCGCGGCGGACTCATTCCCAGCTTCGCTTTTGATGGCTCCCATCACTGCTTCCTCCATCCAGCCTCCCGGCCCCGCAGTTTGGCCCTGCCCGCCCAGCCTGTCTAAACGTCACTCCCCACCTGTGCCCTCCCCCATGAACAATCAAATCCCAGTACTCATAGACTGCTGTCATGTGGGACCTAAGCCAGTGTGACCAGCATTCCATGTAGTGGAAGGAAAACTGTTGTGAGATGTTCAAAGACTGAAAATATCACCACCCCACCACCTGCGCTGCACCTGCTGACCTTAGCCAGGGCCCAGGGACCCAGAGATTGAGGCTGCAGGGGGCCAAGGTCAAGGGTAGGGGATACCCCAAGATCCCTTTGTCTCGGGGAACCAGTTGGGATCACCTCCTTTCTCTTCCACGCTGATTTTCCCCACCAAAGCTGGATGGAGGGTGTCTCATGCGGTTCCCCTCTAAGGGGGGACCTACCTCCTTTCCTTTGTCCTGGAGCCTCCCTGCCCCCACCTTGGGCTTTCTCCTGGAAGCCCTCGCCGACCACCCCAGTCCACAACAAGGAGTGCTCGCTCCTCTGGCTTGGGGGCTTCCCGACTCCTGCCCTACTGCACCCCGACCCTGCCCGCTTCAGCCCTTTTGCTGCTCTCGGCGCAGGGCAGGCTCACCAGGAGCTCACCATTTTGCAGATGGACTTGGCCTCCTCGGAGAACTTTTGGGAGTACACCTCCTCCGTCTCCAGGACCCGGCGGTCCACTTCTTCCCGCTTCACCTTCTCTTTGCGGCCCCGGAATGGTGACTGGCCCTCGATCATCTCATAGATGAGGCAGCCCAGACCCCAGTAGTCAGGGCTCAGGCCGTATCTCTGGTTGTTCAGGACCTCCGGAGCTGTGGGCAGAGGAGCAGAGCCAGGAGAGGTAAGAGACAGCTGGTGACCGGACAGAGCTGGGGCACGGGGGCCCAGGGCTGAGGCTCACAGCGACAGAGCGTCCTGCACCCAGCAGTGATGGTGTTGCTTACAGAAGGCCGGAAGCTTCACGGTAGGGACACGCTTTCCCCTGTTGACTCCTACTCACCAACTGCCATAAACACCACCTCCTCCAGGGCGCCTGCCCTGACTGCTCTCCTCTGTGCTCCTGAAGGGCTCGGACTGTGGCTTCAGAAGCCTGACCACAGTGGATGGAAATGTCTCTCCCACTAGAATCTGAGCTGCCTTATTCACTGCTGTGTCCCAGTAAGGAGTATGACACCTGACACAGAGTAGGTGCTACACACATATTTATTTCCAGGAATGAAGGTGTGTCCACCCAAAGGAAAGATGATTTTAAGTTTACCTGGAATTGAAACAGCCTCTCACTATGGCTTCCCTACTATTTTGATAAAATGAATTATAGATTAACCATACAAGTACAGAAAAGATAAGCTTCATGTCATCAGGCAGGTCACCAACATCCACACATGTGCCCGTGAGCATACAACAGAGGCCCTGCAGATGGATGCGTGCAACGCTCCGTGCAAGAGGAGACAGACACAGGTGTCCACGAAGACGCGCAGATCGATCGCTCTATCATCTGTCCGTCCATCCATCCATCCATCCATCCATCCATCCATCAGCACTGGCAGGGGGATACACACAGCCACATATATGTAGGTACACACCCGACAGGCTCCCAAATGACATGCGATCTGAAAAGGATCTTCTAGCAGCAGAACAACACACAGAATCCTGGGCAAGTGTTGTTGGCAGAGGACAACATCCCCGGCTCCCAGAGCTTTCCGGAGCCCCCACCTCCTGGGGTGAGTGGGCATATGTGTGTGAGGCACCATGTGCAGGAGGAAGCCTGGGGATGTCCTTGACTGGAGGGGGGATTCCAGAGGACCAGACGGAGCTCCGAGTCTCTTCCCTGCAGCCCTCAGGACGATGGTCCCGGAGTAGGCGTGCGGGATGAGGGGCTGGGGGCAGGGCAGGGAGGCTGGACTCCACTTAGCATCTTGCTTGGTGACAGCAGGTGTTGCACTCCTTTCTGGGCCTTTCCGAGTGACCTCCTTCCTCTCAGAGGCCTCTCCCCAAGACCCCCCACTGCCCACTGCGGCTCTATTGCTGGTCAGAGCGGCACCAAGGGGTGCGCTTGGGGAGGGGCCGCACCCACACTCACCCATGTAGCCGACGGTGCCCACCCGGCCGCGGATCAGGTCTCCCTCGGGGATCTTCACGGCCAGACCCAGGTCCGAGATCCGAATGTGGCCTGAGTGGGAAGAGCAGAGTCAGCGGGTCCCCGGGACGGTCGTGTGGACGTGTGCCCCACCCTGGGCAGGGCCACAGACCTGTCATGTGCCCCCGGGCAAGGCACATAGACTCTCACATTTTTATCTGTCCGCGAGGAGGGGCATCATCATCAGTCCCCTCGGGGTGACTGCAGACCCTTGGGAGGGTCCAGGTGTCAGAGGACGTGGGTCAATCATTACTTTTCAGGAAGAAAACATAAAGATAGGAAAGGATGCCTGGATTTGGCTGGACAATGGCCAACCTACCTCGTAAAATGCCCTCATGGGCTTTTTGGAAGGCTGAGATCACCAAGTTTAAAACGCCTTGGCCTCATTCTGGGATTGCTTCATGGGAAAAATGAGAGCTTCTCCTGAAATTTTACAATTTGCTTAAGGGGAAAAATTACAAAGCAACTTGGGAAGCAACTCCCTGTCCTGCCTTGTTGATCTTTGGAGGTTCTTTGTGTTCTCCCTTTGGAGAAACAGAGTGAAGTCATCCAGGCCTTGGGGAGACTGAGAGATGGAACGGAGTCTGGGACTGACCCCCAGAGGCCAAGAAAACACAGTGCTGAGGGGTCTGTCTCGCTGTTGTCCGGTTCGACGGCCCACCCGGGCTGGGTCACGGCCACATCTGCCCCCTCTTCCTTGTCAGTGCCTGCCACGGCCCCATAGCCTGGACCCTGGCGAGGCCCAAAGTCAGGAACTGTCCCCCAGGCCAGAGCTGTGTGGATTCCCTGCTTGGCAGCCCCTGATAAAAGTGGGGAGAAGAGAACACACAGGTTCCAGCCATCGGGCTGCAGACCGTGGTGGGCACGGTTCTGAGACCAGCAGG